CAGAACATAATCCGCTACAATATCGATACCTACCAGCAGCTGTGAGCTACAGCGAAATTACGGCTACCAGCCCACTAGATATTACTCAGGAAAAGCCACCACCAACATGTCGTGTTTAGGCCTCTCTCGCCGTTCCCCGAATCCCTCTCCGCTGCGCATTCTCCTCACAAATGGGCGTTTCCCGGTCTCCCTTGATCTGGCGCGACAACTCCGGCTTCTCTCGCATACCATCGTCATCGTGGCCGATCCTATGCACTATCACGTCTGCAAATTTTCGCGATCCACGAAAAAGTCCTACCAAGTCCCTGCTCCGCGGGTCGATGCGGGCGGTTACATCCAGTCCATCCTCTCCATCATCCGCGAAGAAAAAATAGACCTCATCATTCCGATGCACGAAGAGATCTTTTATCTGGCCGAGTCGAGGGAGCCAGAGATCGTGAACAGGCTTTTTGCACCGCCGTGGGAAATCCTGCTAAGACTCCACAACAAATTTTCGTTCGCCGAATGGCTGCGCTCCGTTGGCCTTCTCACTCCTGTCTCTCACCTTTGCCGCAGCCGTGCAGACGTGGAGCGGCTTCTACAAGCACCGGGAGAGTGGGCTGTTAAGCCAGTATTCGGAAGAGCGGCCAGGAATGTCTACCATCTACGTCAGGGTGACAAGATCCCCGACTCATGCGACGTGGGTGAGGGAAATCACTACATCGCCCAGCAGTGGCTTACCGGGCAACGGTACTGCAGCTACATGGTCATCCGTGCTGGACGAGTCCAAGCTTTCTGTCTTTACCCGGTGCAAGACACAATCGATGGGAGTAGCTGCGTCTATTTCCGTTCCATAGCCCATCCAGCGGTCGAGGAGTACTGTACCCGCATTGCCGCTGCGTTGCCCGGAGTTGGTGCGCAGCTGGCTTTCGATTTCATCGAGGTCCCGGGGCAGCCCGTGGTGGCTATCGAATGTAATCCACGTGCCACAAGCGGGATCCATCTCTTCTCTGGCACCCCTCTTTTGGCGCAGGCCCTAGTTTCCGGCCCTCCTGCACCCCCGCCTTCTGCCGAAGCGGCTCCGGCATACACCACGTTCACCGTTGTTCCACCGCTCGGAGCAAAACGCCAACTTGCCCCGGGCATGCTAATGTGGCAGAAGTCTGAGCGCGGGGTCAAGGCCTATTTGGAGCATATGGGACGCTTAATGGGCAGTAAGGATGTGGTTTTCAGCAAGAGCGATCTACTGCCAAGTCTGATGCAGCCGTTTTTGCTGACAAGTTATTACGAGATTTGTCGAGAGAGAAAGTTGGGGCTGCCGGAGATGTTTCAGTGGGATTTGGTCTGGATGGTTGAGACGAGTCTGGGGACGAAAGGACCGGGTGGCGAAGAGAGGGGCAACGAAGGGGTTGCCATCGGTGAGAAGCTAGAAAAGAGGAGAAGTGAGGACAGTGAAGGCGGCGGTCCGTGTTGGATGTGTACACCAGAGGACAGAAGGGACTCTGGGGTAGTTAGAGAGCAGTTTGAGGACAGCCAAGATGGCTCGGTTTAAACTTAATGAATGGCATCTCTAAAACAGAAAAGATGGTGAACGGTAGAGGCTGTCACGTTAAACCCGGGATAGCGACCTTCTTGGGGAGTTGAGGCAGCTTTTTACGATTCATGTACCTTTCTTTCATACGGTTCGAATTTTTAACTTACGATTCGTACGTTCTATGCCAAATTTCCTTAAAATACTCGGCGCAGTGTGGTTAGTAAGTAGCTGAAGCATTCGGTACTGCTCTTGTTGAACGTCGCTCTGTGAACGCTCTAGCTTGAGACCGGAACATCAGATGCAAGCCCTGCCAATCCTGCAGACAAGCTTATGTATCAACGCATAGTTCGTAGTCTGATGTACAGTCGCTCACGCGATATCACTCGGTTATTGACAAGAGCCTCCTAGCTCCTGCCTTGCTGTGTTCCCTGCTGGCTGTTACAAGCAGACAATCTTGATGTGGCCCAGACTAAAGCGGTGTAGTTTGAAGTCCGTGAATTGTGGGCGCACAGGAGCACTATCCACAATGCTTGCAGTTTTCAGTTTCAATCAGCGTACTCTAGAGAATTAATCACCAACTTTTGGATGAACAGGATTAAGATTCAAAAAAACCAAAAAAACACACCCAAAACAAACCCCGCAATCAACAAATGACTTCCCCTCAATGCATCCAACTGTGGATGACCCGGAAAAGGATGAATCCCTGCCGTCCACTGCTGCACCGACACCGCTAACCAAAGTAGAGACGACAAAAAGTCTTGCACCAACTGCATAAGCATCCTCGAATACCATACCACCTGCTGATTGCGCAAGAGATTCTCTGGCAAATTGAAAACATCGCCTTCCGCCAACATGTCCGATGCGATCAGATGTTTCACACAGTAATTCGCCGAATCGTGGCTTTTTCGCTCGCGCACTGGCTTGCATTTGACGATTGTGCCCAGCCGCCGGCGGCATTGCGTGAACTCGTGGTGCTTTTTGCAGCTGCAGGTATGTACAATGTAGGTTTGTGTGCACATGTTGCTATGGGATGTCAGCACGGATTCCGTTGCTTTGAAGGCGGTGTGGTTTTACAGTGACGGTTTGTGACCGGCCGCCTTTTGTGATATTGAAGTTATGTATGTACTTGGTCGGTTAATCGTCTGGAGTCTCTGTAGATTTCTGGGGCTGGAGACTCCCAGTATCCTCGAGGGTTGGACTTTTATCAGTTCTCGATGGGTGGCGCAGCGCTACCATGTTGTGGAGTACCTATAGTACAGGCACCGCCATAAAACCTTCCTGCAACGCAATGCGATGTACAGTACATTCCAGCAAGCACCTCCTGTGTTGCCATCGTGACTTTTTTTCGCTCAAAACACCAGGCAGACAGGTTGCGCGAGTTTTCGTGAAGCGCTCCAGATCCAGTTAGCTACTCCACTCTGTGTGTGCTTGCTTTTCGTCTGATGATGTTGAAGGAGGAAGGATCGGCGTTCTGAAGAAGCGCACAGCCACTAAAAATGAGTCAGTAAACCCGCTGTGCCGCCCAACTGCAGAAACCACAACAGGAAGCAGCATAAGCAATTTTGGTCGTTTCATCTCGGATGAAATCGGAGTTAACTATCTGTCGTCCAGACTCTCGGTAGACAGAAATTCGCCGAACCTTTTGGAAAATATTTCATGTCCCCTATCTGTATCGATATCGAGATCCACCGGGTAGCCCTTTGAGATGACGACAGTACCCGTTCAACAAGCGCTATCCTACGTAGACATTTTAACGCATCGGCGGATTCCATGGCGACATAGATACAAGCAAGCACCCCGGCCGCCCCCATAATAAAAAGAACCCCCTGAACCTAAATGACGCCTGGTGGAAGCGCTGATATCACATCACTCCTCTAAGTAGCGGGGACACATTCAGCATCACAGACAGTTTTTCCATTAAACCCGCTTGGAGCACAAGTACACTTGGTTTCCCATGGCGAGTGTTGCTTTTCATGGAGCCACACCACGGAGGAGACATCAAGGCGCGGCCAGTTTCAACTGCCAGCACAATTCCAGAGGAGTTTGAGAAGATCAACCACCGACCTACCCAAGCGCGCGCTTGTATGATGTACCTAGCATATACAGTTGGGGAACTTGGGTGACGAGATGGCCAGGTGCCGACCGGTTACAGAATTCTCTCTCGTTTCTCAACAACAACCATGCAGATCGATAAAACGACAGGAAAGCGAAGAGAAGCGACACTCGACGAGAGAATTGATGTAGTTTCTAAAAGAAAAGTGGGCAAGAGTTTCGCCCAAATTGAGAAGGAAACTTGGGCGTCCCGATCACAGGCGTAGAGGATCTACCAGCAGTGGAACACCAAGCGCAAGATCAAACAAGACCTGCGAACCGGACCGCCAAAAAAAGATCTACGACACGCCAAGAGAGTTGTTATGCAAAATTCGTCTGCGATTTTGGCCGACGTTGCAGAGCAGGTCCAATCCCCAGTTATACCCCGGGTGCTGGGACGGTAACTACGCAACGAGCGCTGGTACTGCCGCCGTGCCAGGAGAAAGACCTGGCTGGATGCGAAGACGATGAGGAAGCGGTACCAAGCGCAAGGGGTGGGAGGTCTAACAGTTGCGGAAAGTGGTGTGCTGCGGTGAGAAGCTTGTGAGTTCGGGTCGTGTTCGCCGTACACGATGAGTCCGACGTCCACCCGGCATAGCAAGGGCATTCCAGCCTCGCTATCTCCAGTCAACCTTCACCTCTGGACGCTTCTCTGTACTCGCAGTTGCCGCCATCACCTTTGGAGCCCACACTCCTTTAGTTATCTTCCGCAAAAGAACTCCGAAGGAGCGAAAACACAAGTGGGACAGTTTGGGTGTGGATTCGAAACAATATATTGAGGAATCCGTCGAACCATACCTGGTGCCATTCATCTACAGTCTTCCTGGTGGTCCTGAGGACCATCCAACTATTGAGGATGGTGCCAGGATACATACGTCCAAGCAGACCCAGCAGGTTCGTGAGGCACACGGTCTCACTCGCCTTGAGTGGCCTCCAAGCTCCCCTAACCTCAACCCTATCGAGAATGTCTGGCCGTTCCTTGACGCCAAGATGGATTCGAAGATGACCAACCCCTCTACTCGCGCCCACACTGAGGAGTTCATAGAGCTAGCACAGCGGTCGTGGGAGGAGCTTGATTGGGACAACGTGGACGGTATCATAGATAGTATGGCTAACCGGGTAAAAGCCGTATTGGAGGCGAAGGGAGGGCCTACAAAGTATTGAGCGCTTGTAAAGAAACCCTCCATCACGTCGCTGGGTGTTTTTTTTTTTTTTTTTTTTCGGCGTTCTTGTGTTCTGGCGTTGGTTGTTTTCTCGTTGTAAGGCATCGGTAACCGGGCGCATCTCGTCACCGACTGTAGATAAAAAAAAAAAGCAGATTTAGGATACCATTCCTGAAAGGACCTTGCCCAGCAAGAGTTTTCTAGGCTGCCAAAGCAAAACAAAAAAGATCGTCTTCCGTTACGGGGAATTGAACCCCGGTCTGGCCGGATTAATGCTCTCACATGAGAGCGGCCGATGCTAGCCACTACACCATAACGGAGGTACTCACATTTCCGGCACTTCCCCACTCCTTTTCACTGTATGTACCTAGGTATGTACATACTTTCACGACGACTTTTCTTTCGGTTTCCGGCACAAACAATCACTCAGAAATGACCGGTCACGATTGTGAAGTGACGCGACGGTGGCCGGACCCGGCAGTGGACAAAAAAAATGACAAAATTGCTAAAGTGCCGATGTTTTAACCATCACCACACAGTTTATTTTTGAGAGTCACCTCACGTTTTGTATGGAGCCCGATACAAATTTGCCTTTCGCAATGCTCTCAAAACCGCCTTCCAGCCCTTAGCGTATCCCCTTTTTCGCTCTCCCTCCTTCGGACTCTTTGGGATCAACTTTCAGGTGTTTTCCTGCTTTCCCAGCCAGCGAACACTTTTGGACTAAATCCGTTTGGTGAAAAGTAATCATGAGTGTTATGGCTGTAAACCCGTGAATTTCACATGAGACCAAGCCATGACTCTACGAGGATAGCCATCGCCGCGAGCCACTCACAGCCGTTCTACACAGGTTAAGTATTCTATGAAGCCAGCGGAAATTGTTCCCATACCAATTGCCAAGGGGAAAATTGTGTTGCGCGAAACCTTCGGAAACTGTGGCCTTGATAATGGTTGCCGACGGTCGTTCCTGAGTTCACTCGAGGTTTGCAGCATCTAACCGGGCTTGGTTTTTTCTGCCAATGAGGTCAACCCGATAGCAGGTGGGCATATTGTATGGCTCTCGCAGCTAGGAGTGTAGTAGTGTAGTTAGGATTCCCGGCAGTTAGGGGCTATGGTATCGGGCATTCGGGTCATGTGCAGGCTGTTCTAGGTAGTTTATTTGATTAGAAACTGATGGTGAACATGAGCCTATGGCCAGGGTCTATCAGTTGATCAGTTGATCAGTTGGAAACATCATCAGCGAGTGAAAATCATGGCTCTAGCTAAGGCGTTCAGGTTAATTACGCGCTCACCTTGCTGAGAGGAATATCTATGCACAACGAGAAAGTGCAGTTGTGATAGTAAGAGCCGATGATCATGAGAGAGAACAAACCTTTAGTCAGTTCAATCTTTGCGCCACGATTAATGCAAGGTCCCTGGCCTCTCCAGGATTTCGACCATTTGACAGGGCCGCAGTATGGCACGGTGCCGTCAAGGAATCTGGAATTGGTATCTATCTTCATTATCTTCTAGCCTTGGAAGAGAGCGAAAACGAGGGAAATAAGAGGCGACCCTCAGTCGAGAAACAGGTTTCCGTTACCATCATAGATTCCTCGATGATCACCGACACCGCAATCAGTATCACAGCAATCAGGCTTGAATACGGGTTAGAAAGCCAAGCTTAAAAGTCTTTCGACAAATCAGAGCCCCCACATTCCCCACTCACACTCCACCAGCTCCTTTTACCCGAAACTAATCGCCGCTGCTGCTCTCTTTGACCTTGTTGGCAGCGGCAGTTAGGAGATAGATAATACTCAAGCGTGTCAGTGACTTGGAGGCATCAAAGCTTTTATCCACTGCGGATTCAGGCATGTTAACGTTTGCCTCGGCTCATGCGCAGCCCCACTCACATTGTCGCTAACACTTTTTCGGCCTGCCAGATATTAAACCAACGTTCAAGCGGGTTCCCCAAACCCTTTAGACTTGATTACTCTAGATAAATTCTGCCTTAGCATTCAGGTACAAGAACTGTAGGAGCCGTCGAAGCCGCTAGCGCTTATGGCCCGTTCCGCAGCCTGAGCTCTATGCATATAGCCAGCAAGTTGGAAAAGAACTTATGCTTCGAAGTTTGCACATGCTGCCGAGTTTTATAGGAAACCTGCTGATCCGGATGAGGTGCGGGGGAGTGGCAGAAATACTCGGTGATGGTAGCGACAATGCCACCACCGGGTTTGCTACCTAACACTTCGCTAGGTAGTTTAGGCAGGTACCAGATGAAGGATCCAGATCACTACTCTTCGGCAACCCTGTAGGCTTGCCGATCTTCCAGACCAGGTATCCTTGCGGTCCTACCCCGTAATAACTAGGCACTTGCAATAATCATAATCAGGCATGTCGATAACTGATGTATTATGTATACTGGATGTGGTACGTACTTTAATAGTTGATTGTTTGCAGTTCCTACTGCGACCGTGCCTGAGCTAGGTATGTAACCTCTACCGGGCCTCTAGTAATCTTGCAAGGGTAGGCGCTTGTTTTGTAAATTGCAGGCCGTGGTGCCGGAAAAAAAGTGCTGCCTAGTGCCCTACTTCGGGCCCGTTCCGCGATATATCGCGTGGTGATTAGTCTTCGGTCAAATCAAGGGATATTGCATCTAGCCGGCCATCTTCAAAATGCGAATGCGAAGTCTAAATTATTTACCGCCGTCATCGGATTGGCTAGTAATCAGTAACTGCAGATGTTGCTCAACGAAATCATAGATATCGGTAATCGTAATTTCAGGCGAAAACATATAACATCGGAAGCTGTCTCAGGAAATTCTCCGGTGGCGTCTTGACAGTCACACCTGGACAAGGCACCAATTAATCTAACTAGATTTGTTCCCTCTAAGCACGTGAACGCCGCAGACCCTGAGGGCCTCAACAAGCGGCATTGTTTTCTTTTTACGTCCCCATGGCGGTTAGCCCACCAAGGTGGATCTTCCGATCTTGAACTTACCGGCGATGGCAGCCAGAGGGCTTAGTTATTATTGCCATCCACTCTCAATCTAGACTTTCTATCCAAACAAAAAAGCACGTTCTAGGCTGCCGTAAGTGGGTGGACCCTTGTGTAACTTGTGTTCGGGGAGATGGCTTCAGTAGGAAGCTCGACACAAAGACTGAATGCCCAACACTAGAGTGCATGTTTGATAGCGCTGATAAGGCATGCGCGCATAAATAGTCTTCGGTGCATTCCCGCGCGCGGGAGAGGCATCGGATAATTAGATAACAGTTTACGTTCAAAATGCTTAGCCGAACACCCGGGCCACAGAGAGCAGGTACTCAAGGCCGGCATCGTGGGAGATTTGATCCCTTCCCATGGATAAATCTGACGCTTTATATGTTTCAAAATCGATCTGAAAATCAACTTCTAGTTTCCAGATTTGGGATTCCCCAGCTTGCAAGGCTATTGTGTAGCGGCCGCCCTGGATATATGCCTACTGCGGGTGAATTATCCAGGAGGAACAGAGGGTGGAGCCGTTTGCTCCATCTACACCAGCTGCGACGCCGAATATGCACATGTTCCCAGACCCCCATAAAGGTGACGAGGTGAATTCCGCACACAAACAACCAATGATGAAAGTTTGAAGGCCTGAATTCGGTTTCGCGGTTTGTACATATTGCAAAAAGAGGGAAACTTTGCAGTACTCTGGCCAGACAAGCGTACCCTTCAGGCAGCAGCACTTTTGGGAAACTACTATAGTATCTGTTCAGTTTAACAAACTATGACTAGCCATGATACGCGCTTGAGTTGGAAATCGTATACTCCAGGTCGACGTCCGACCTCCCTTTTTGGGATCCGTTTGTTCAAATATTCGGTAATATACATAAGCTTCTACAAAGCCAAAGATTTGTGATTATTCACTACGTATACGCTTGAAAAGTCCGGATATCGGAAGCCTTTCTCACGCGGCCATCATGATTAGTACCGCCATCATGAGTAATTTTCTGATGACACTCCCAATTAGGAGTCTCATGGCCACAAGCACCTGTAGGCAATCTCGCTTTCGCTGAAGCGTTAGGCAACAAGGCAAAATGGCGAAATACCATGGCCATCCAGCCGCTCCAGCCATGCTAGATGCTAGAGAGGAGGAATATAAAATCTAATGCCATCCGCCTGTGTTTTGTTCCTCAGCTCAAGCCTCAAGCAGCACTACCAACAGTCTCTTCGCATAGACGCTCTCTCCTGCTCAACTTTTAGCCCTGAGACCTTCCTTACAGCTTTTCAAGATGTTGGCCAAATTGGTATGCAAAAACACCATAGAGAGCAGACTTCGCTGGCTATGACAATATTAGCTGGCTGACCTTTGTATACAGATTCTTGCGGCTGCACCTCTCTTGGCACTTGTTGCCGGTGCTCCTGCTCCCACAGCCAGCGCTGCCCCGAAACCTCCCACTTTCCCATCAAACCCGGACCATCTGAACACTACGACAGGAGCCCGCCCAGGCCAAGGTGCCCATCAACTTCTTCTATCCAACCCTCCGGCCTTGAACAGCTCTAGATTTCACAATAATATTGCTCTGAGTGCTCAAGATGGAATTGGGTCTGTCGTCACCGGAGACGGGCTCGCCTGGTACAATGGCGACTTCACCGTTGGTGGCTCGGGTTACCAGGACCCCAACTACTACTACTGCTTCCGCGGTATCAAGGAGAACTTCCCGTCCTTTAACAGCTGGATGAACTTCTATACTATGTTCGACTTGAACCAGTTCCACACCATGGTGAACTACGATTCCGGCCCAGAACAAGGTATTCAACCAACCTAAACTATTCTTGAGACTTTTGCTTACAACTATTTTCAGGTGCTATTTACAACGCCATTGTCCAAGTCTCGCAGGAAGCGAAGGTTGACGCCCGTCTCATCTTGGCCGTCATCATGCAAGAGGTGAGCTCCTCGCTTTTATTTCCTTTAGTGCAGTGTTACCGCAGGATGCTAACATGTACTCCTTTCTAGTCTTCTGGCAATGTTCGTGTCGGATGCACCAACAACGGTGTTCAGAACTGTGGCTTGATGCAGGCATACGCCGGCTCTGTTTCCTATGACCCTAACAATATGGCCGCCTCGATCCTGCAGATGGTCCGTGACGGAACTCAGGGTACCTCTCAAGGCCCTGGCTATGTCCAGTGGATCAGCCAGAACTCCGAGACCTCGTATGCTGGACCCACCCAAGGAAACCCTTACCAGGCGGCAAGAGGTTGGTTACAAAACCCCCAATCCCAGTAATGTGGAGAATAGAAGCTGACCAAGATCAGGCTACAATTCGGGCTCGATCAACTTCGCCGACTTGTCTGATCCCAAGGGAGC